CGTGATTCATTACCCAGAGTGTACTTGTCCGATTAAAACGAGTTTCGCCCCGAACAGATGATAGTGACTGACAGTGCTGAAAGATGGTACTAGCGGTATGTTCAATTAGACGTCAGCTGTGCAGTATGCAGTCAACCTAATTCTTCGTTTCCGCATTAACTGCTATCTATGTCCAACTTCTACAAGTCTTCTTCTTGAACGTTATGTCTCAGCCTGCATTTGTCATTGACTGACCTGTCATTACAACCAGCTGGTTTTCGATGTTCTCGATTCCTTTCTTCAGTCTTCTGTTTGGCTCTCTTTTATCACCAATTCAGGCTATGGCTGGTAAGGATAATTCTCTAATATTTTTCATATGCAAGTAGGTCATTTTCAACTGCATGTGAACAGCAACACATTCTGCCACCATGCCTGCAGCGCATTCTAAGATGCTACTCAACAGTGAACAGGACCACACGGCGAATTCCCGAACCAACGACTTGCAATATTCCATTGAAACTGCATCAGTGCCCAAGGTCTATTTGGATTTCATTCGACCCAAGGTTGGGAATATGCATAAACTTCCCTAAAAATTCATCTGCAAAGTTACTTCCATGTGCATTCGTTTTCGAAAGCTTCCACCATTTTCATCACACAGATGTTGCTCTGCCTGTCGTCAGTCATCAAGAATTTTGAAGGAGGCCGTCCAGCGGTAGCTGGCTACTGTTCAAAATGAAATTAACCAGCACGTTAATTCATTGTAAATGAAATATTTCACCACAGAAGAACATCCTTCTTGCAAATTCATAAAACTGTGTAGTCATACAATCAGCTATGTAAACAATGGTTTTGAATAATTATACAACATATAAATGTAACCGCAATATCAAACGGTATTTTAAGATTAAAGTCAAATGCGGCTTCACGATTCATTGTAGTTTAGCTCAACCGGTACTTCAAGCGTACGGCTAACGGAAAGACGGGAGAACAAACAATGTTACAAAAAGTCAGGTAAAGGAAATGTTTACTGATCGTTATCCGCCTTCAAGTTCCCTACTATATCCTTAATGCTGCTGATTTCAGTGTTAAACTGGGTAGGATGCGCCGTTACCAATTATACAACTTACAGCATACATCTGTACGGCTTCAATTTCCATAGCCAAATAACTTTAATGCAAGATGTCCTTCTCCTTTCTACTGTCTCCAACAATTTTATTCACATATAACCAATGTTGTGCATATCTCTTTCTGCGAAATAATTCTATGACAAAACTTAAACTTGCTTACTACGTGTGCAACGACACCTCATCATGATGGGCATCATTGTCACATAGACGAAGCACGGACAACCAATATAATTCCAAGCACTGACCTTTAAGACCGTGAAAACTTGAAATATTTAAGAATCGATATCACGTCGTCCCTCATTGAGACCCGCAGATCGATGGCATGATGAATAAGGTCGGCAGTGCGTCCTTCGGTCCATTCCGGCTGAAAAGCTTTGACGTGCATGTTTGCATTCGCAAAGGCGTGCCAAGTAACTCAAATATTATGTGCCGTTCTACTTTATATCTCGTCCTCGTGTGTCGCACATCTGGGTGTACTACACGTTGTGCACTATTATAAGACGTCTTTCTGTAAAACGTGGTCACACGTTTTTCTGGGCACTACTTGGATAGCTTATGCAAATAAACTATAATGTATCATCATGTTATCATCATGTTACTGCATATATGCGGTAACATATAAAGTACCAACTCCTGAAACATCGGTCGCAATGTGCGCAAGGTAACTCTAGCAGAGAAAACGATAGGAGATGTATCTGCCACTGCAGGTACTCAAATACTACGGAGTCGTGATCTGCTTAAGCGGTGCCTCCTAGGCAACTAGGAGCATGGCGCGGTGAAATCTGATCTTGGAGGAATTACGCATTATGATATCACGCTGTAATATACAATACACAATATATTGTCATTCATGTAATCAGGCAGAATGGTCCATATTTAAAGCGGAAAGCTGAAAGGTCATAGTTTACCAACCTTTCGACCATGCATGCAACCATTCTTTTAAAGCCAACGTCGCTTTTAATGATCGTCTTCTCTACGTATATCAATTATCAATTTCCGTTAATGTTTAAGTCGTGTGCTACACTCTAAAGTATTCAAATAGCTTTGCAACGTTGAACATCGACCGTCCTACTTTACAAAGTACTTCAACATAAACAGGCATATAGGATATTTGGTTGTTTGTCAACGGTAACCTCAACGATCAACCTTGCTGATCACAAGGAACATTTATAAATAAAATGCCTGAATGAAAGGAATCTAGAACAGTCACAGGACTTAGCCGCTGGTCAAAAAGTGTTGTATGAGGAGCAGAGAATCTTAAGGTTTTAACCCATCAAGTTAAGTCTCGGTATTCAAAGATTATATGAAATCCCGTAAGGTAAATCCAGGCCGTTAACGCCGTAAAACTTATTTCTAACGCTTGCTTGTCAGCAATGGAGGGTCGTACCATAGTACGTCGGTTACGCGATAGTTAGTAATGATTCAACAACGCCGATGGACCACGAAGTCAGTCGAAAAATATAATGTAATGAAACTTCGTTGGGCGTGAGGTTCTTACCAAAACTTTCTTGTCCTTGACGGTGTTGCAAATCTCGTTCATACACTGCTGTTGGCGATTTCTCAACGTGTAGGTCTGCTGGCAGCCGGCAATGGTGATCAGGAAGTTTTTCAGGATTTGCAAGCCGCACGTTGTCAAATCGACTTCCGGATGAAACTGCAACCCGTATATTTTCAGCTGGTCACTGCTAATGCCTAAGCAAATAATATGGTACATCGCCAGAATTTGTCGACACAACCGTTACCTGCCACAGCACCTCCCGACCGTGCAATAACCTTAAATTCAGTGGCCACTTGATCTATGCTGTCACCATGAGTAAGCAAAACCGATTCTTTCGCATTAAGGTTGCTGAAATCATAAAATAACTATCAACGGCATTACTAAGGTATTGACGTAGGTCAAGTTCTCTCGCATGAATTCCAATCAACGCAGGTAGACATACAATTCCCTTAACATAAATTTCCCCTAAGATGGAGTTAATCACCCTCTGCTGCGGTATAATCTTTCAGAACAAGCATAACTATTGTAAAATCAAAGATAAGACTGATCACAACGAAGAAATGATTCGCCTTTTACAAGATCCTAAGTTGTGAAACACTGGGGCCTAAAATGGCTGGAAGGAGAAAAGCAACGAACTAAAAATATCAGGTGTTGCACACATAGCAAGATGGCTACCTTCGGACAAAGAAACTGTTTAACAAAATTCGATTTCAAGAAACAACCAAGAAAATATTGTAAATTCCGTAGTCACACGAAATTTTTGAGTTTTCAAGATTCATTTCAATTCTGAAAGCAGAGCACGGAAATCTGCACAAGTCTTAGATGGTTTCAATGAAAAAACTTAAAAAGAAAAACAAGCATTTAGACGTCAAGCCGTAGGCTTATTTATACAAGATCAAAAGTACATAGGATAATCTGGATTTAACAGCAACATTCAGATACTGATACCGCAAAAGAGCACATCATGCATGTAGTTTCTTTGGATCTGCACGGCGTCAATCTTACTATCGCTTTCATTCTACAGGCCGAAGGGAATTTTTAATGAGATCACAGATTTATAGAACTGTAGCATCTGCTCGAAAGTTTCCGTAGGCTTCTAAATACAATGGAATGACGTTATCGAAGAAGTAAGAATCCAGAATATATACAGATATTCGTATGCCTCTATGCACGGCAGGTGCTATAATACCATCAATCCATGACTTGACTGCCCCTGTAGAAATCCGCAAAACGATATACATATATCATGCTATCAAAACCTAGCTTATTCGTGCACATCCAGAAAATCATGTGCATTTTCGAAGGAATTGGTTAAAGATTAAAAGAGAAAGACAGCAATGATGTTGAACTTGTAGCAAAAAGGCTTAAACGGCATCTTACGCCATTACCAGTCAGAACAGTCATCGTTCAATGTAAGCCATGAGAAATTTGAGTCTTCAAAAGCTGGCCATGCGATGTGTTACTGCTAAAAATATATTTCCTACTGGTCGCCATAATTCAGCCTTACAGCCTCATTGCTGGAAGCCCCCCCCCCGTTGTTATCATTATCTAACACTAAATTCTGAATAGCGAAGCGGAACAGGTTTGTGGTATCTGACTCATTGCACATGAGTCGTGCATCTGTATTATGTCTAGTACTGCAGAAAAGGATGCAGTTTCGTTCAAGCAGGAATCTGTTAGGTTATTCCAGAATTTATATCGCCTGCTAATCGCTTGACTCACTAGATGGCTCTTATAAGAGCCGAGTTTCGAACGGTTTCTTAACCGTGGCTCTTTCCATACAAGCAAAACAGGAGTCAATACCCAATGTTTTTGACAGCGTTTCAGACCGCAAGTCGTCAACATTTACTCATGCATGATCTATCTCTATCTGGAGGCTACTCCTCGTAGAAAAACTTGTTAGAATCTGTCGATAAAAGAGCCTCATGATAAGCACCGCGAATACGACTATTTTCGAGAAAGCCACCATTCGACAAAATTCACTTACGTGAGTCACAGTGGAAGAAGAAAGTGCGAACAACGATAACTCAGGATCGCAAGGCTCGACGGAGAGCCGTAGCGTGCATACTTTCGAACAGTCACTGCAACCGCGACTACCCATCCTTAGCCCAAAAAGGCTGACCCAAGATTGGGCTGACAAAGTTTTATATATTTAAACGCAGTTCTGTCAAAGAGAACAATACTGATTACAAATCTGACCTACAAATCAGAAGGAAATGAAGGTCTGTAACCACTGGGTGAGATGCAGTCTCCCTTACACTTGCATGATGGACGCTACCTGTGGCCGCCTGCTTTCATACAGTTTATGATTAAGCGACAACCATTGTTTGCCCCAGGAGTAATGTGTTGTTTGTCAAAGCTACATCTACATCTTAACGACAACTACAGCGTACAGCCGCCAGCTTCCTTACCACTAAGTTATACATATTTATCTACCTCCAAAGGAGACCTGACCAGGGTTCGAACCCAGGACCTCTCATATGTAAGGCAAACGCTTTACCGACTGAACAGCTCCAGTCAAATCTGACAGGAACACTATAATCCACTGTAAGTATCAATGCCTAAAAATAAAGCAATGAAACTTGTCACTGCGCTACTCACCGCGTGAAAGAAGTACAACTACTCTTGAGCCAGATACAGGACGGAAGTTTCGAATAATGCTTGACGGATGCTATCATGAAATTGAGAGAAAGAAACATACTTCCCGTCACTGGTCAATCACTTCTGCCTGAGCAATAAATAACGTTGCCAAATCTTGTACATCGTGTCATTCATCAGAACGGACGGTGGAAGTTGTCATCATATCATCTCACCGTTTGCACCTTGAACGCCATATAATAAGGTCAGTCATCGTGCAGGACATGAACCTCGAGTCAACCTGAACGTTTTACATTTGGTATACATTTGTAACCTATCATTTTACATAACCAAACAGCTGCATCACTGCATTGGAGATTTTTCGCAGCTGTCAAGATGTACCAAATCTTGTAAAGGTTCGTAAATTCAATAAATTGCAGGTAATTTACGTTTATCGAAACCGGGCCCTGGAACCTACGGCATGACAAATTAATGACCATGCACCAATCCACAGTCCCCACTTTGCAGCTACTCACTTCTACGTACAAAGAAGTTTAAACTAGAGCTAATATTGCTTTTCAATCGAGACCGTAAACGACGTGAAATAAAAGAACATTGCCTACTAAATTAATGTCCAGGCAGCAATGAATCGAAGCGTCAACGCTTCCGTACGTAATCTGTAAACGTTGTTCATTAATAACCGTTTCTAACAGTATGATTCCTTGATGCCGACAAACCATCATTACTATAATCACAGGTATGTTCAATCGACCGGCGATCGTAAAGCCCATCAGAAGTACGTCCACAGACTATAAACCGGGCAGAGTATTTGTTTACGTAAACCTAGGCCGTTTCTGACTACACGAGGCCACGTGTTTCTCATGGGTAAGATGAATGACCCACGTGTCTAACTTGAACACGCAACGATTTACGCAACTTATACAACGCCCATGTATTACTGCTGCATCGAGTTTCGATTAACATAATAACTGACTGGA